GTTAGCTCTAACTAGTGTGTAGCGATGACCCGAGAAAAAATAAGATGCAGGCAGGTCCTGCCCAAGACAGGGGCAATCCGGTTAAGGGCAGGACTAAGAAGACTGTATTATGGATTCTCAGAGGAGGGGCACCTAACCCCTCCAAGGCACCTAGGAATGGAGGGGACACCACCTAAAGTTGAGTTGGAAAGGTAAGTAGACGTTAGCAAGGTGAAGAGCCAGGATGCCAGGGGCAGGACTCAGCATGGCATGTCTCAGGAACCTCACTGACTGTGCGACAGGAGCCACAGGCATGGGACAGAGGGAGGCAGAAAGGCCTGGACAGCTGGGCTGGGTTACACAGGCCTTCAGATGCCAGGGAAGAGTCAGGGCCTGGGCCTGGAGATGACAGGGGGCCTGGGGAAGTGCTTCAAGCAGAGGAGGGACACGGTCAGGTTGGTGTTTCCAGTAGGTCATTGTAGGCTCTGTGGGGTACGTCTTCTCTGCTTGGCTCCCCTTCTGCAACGCTGGACTGCCCTTGGTCGGTTTATTTTGAACAGGAATCTGCTCTTACCAGGTCAATTTCAAAGGCTCATCCCAGCTACACTCTTCTGTGAACAGCAAATACGCCCAACAACTGAGGGTCATCACACCTGGCCGATACGGTTTGCTGCCTTTCGAATAATGAGGGTATACTAAGACAACTCTGAGCCCTGCGAGGGCAGAGATTGCGTCTTATTCATTTTGCAACTCCAGGCACAGAGATTGCTAAATATACATTTAGCAAATGTTTGTTAGATGAATAAATGCCCATCAGTGAACATGACCAGCTCTTCCTCTGAGCATTCGAGGCCCTGCGGGATCATCAGCCTCAGACCCACCGTCCAGTTGGGATTTTCATGGCCTGGGACCGGGGTCGTAAAGGGTGCCAGATTGGCCAAGTTTGTCGTGTTGTTGTTTGCTTTTTAAATGTTCCACATATTGTTGCTTCTTAAATTTTCTATCATAATTCGGAATGAGTTAGGATTCCAAAGACCTGCCTCCCGGCTTCTGTTCCATCAAGGTAAGCTAGGGAAACCTCAAAGCCTCTCCCTGTGATATGTAAAACCAGGGTGTGACTGGCGATTGTTGAGGTGCTGACTGGCCAGGAAAACACTGGGTCTGCAACACTCAGTGGTCTGTTGGACAACTTCCCTTCCCCTTTCAGGCTTAAAGTGATAAAAGACAAAAGATGGAGGCATTCTAGTCAGGCCTTGGTAGCCTTGAGCACATCACACAACCTGCAAATTAGGGTAATACGGTCTCCCCCGCTTGTTTGCCCTAAGTCTTAGGAACGCTGCCTGTAAGGAACCTAACACGGGCTGGCTGGTGGCTGGAGGCGAACACAGAGCCCTTCTGAGCCTCACTTGTAAGGTGGGGATAACAATGTCCACTCTGTAGGACCCCCCATGCCCCCCGCATTAATGCACATAAAGTGCCTAGCAGACATTCAAGACACCAGGAGCAGATATTCAAGAGGACTCCTCCTGAAGGTGTCTGTCTAGGATTAAAGTGACTGAGCACAGGGGTTGAGTTAGCAAAAAACTGAAAACTCACAACTATCCCAAGGTCGGTTCAGCACTAACGTCCTATGGTCCTCCCCTCCCTGTCACTCCCCACTCCCTGGCCTGGGCCCCGTCTGTTCCAGGTAGGTCCCGCTCAGCCCTCCTGGAGATGGGGCTCCCAAAATGGAAGGTGGGAACTGCCACAGGGGCAGGAAGCTGAGACAGTGTCAGCCCCACCTGGGCTAGGACTGAGCAGGGACCTCAAATCCAGAACCTGGGTACATGAGTGTTCCTGTTCCCGACGAGCTGTCACTTCCTAAGGCGGGGACTGTGTGCTGCGGCTGTGTCTCCCAGGCTTGGCTTGGAGAACAGTTGAGGCAGATTTGGTCCGCCCAGATCGGAGTGGGGCTGGGGTAGAGCAGGTAGCCTTCCCTTTTCAGACTTACTCACGAAATCTGTGCCGAGGGCTGAACTCTCAATAGATGGTCACATACACCGGCCACAGGTGGTTCATTCATGCTCTACTGGAAGCTGGACCGGAGCGCCTGGGTGGCTCAGTCAGTTAAGCGTCTGACTTCGGCTCAGGTCGTGATCTTCTCGGGGTCCTGGGATGGAGCCCCACATCGGGCTCGTTGCTTGGCATGGAGTCTGCTTGTCCCTCTCCCTCTGCCTCCCCCCACCCATTCATGCTCTCTCTTAAGAAATAAAAATCTTAAAAAAAATAAAAATAAAAATAAATGAAAGCTGGACCTTCTGACAAAGTCAGGGCTGACGGACAAGGAAAAAGGGGCAGGTGCTTTCAAGGTGATCGGGCGCCCCCTCACCCTGCCCAGCCCCCAAGCCCTTTCCGCCTCACCAGACTGGACTCAGTACTGGCACGTGGCTTCTCGCCTCCGCCTGTTCCACAGTGGGCCCCCTCCATGAACTCGGGAGTGAGGATCCTGTGGGGTAGTCCTGTACACACTGAGGAAATTAGCCACTGCCCGTGAGCAGGACGGTCAGGGGCTTTGGAACAGCCTGGAGTTTTAATTCAGACCCACTACCTAGTAGCCAGAGGCTGCCAGGCCAGCGAACTTCCCCTCGTGGGTTATTTCCTTCTCTGAGATGCAGAGACCAGGAGAGCCTGCAGGTTTTGTGAGGATCAGCTCACCTTGAAATGAAAGCTCGGAAGAGCGTATAGTACAATACTCTAAATGTTCATCTCCTCCCTGCTGTCCCCCAGCATCCCACCCCGGCCCCATTGTGTCACTGCCTCTCTGCTCAGGACTTCTCAGTGAGGCCAGGGCCACCTAGGGGCTGCTCTCCAGGATGCCCGCCCCCAGGCCTCCGCCTCACCAAACTGCCGAACACCCCCTGTAGGAGCCCCAAAGCATCTCTTTGCCCAGGAGGTGGGCACACAGAGAGGCCTCAAGGTCTCTAGATCATTCCACCACGGTGAGATTCAGTCCCATTTCAGGCAAGCCTCAGCCAAACCACCAAACTTTCGTTGACAAAGCAACAGGCTAACACTTGGTTGTAACGTGTTTAATTTGTGCTGTCCACACAGGACCCTGCATAGAACGGGTGTCAGCCCCCTGAGGGCCCCCACCTCCCCCACACAAAAGAGGATAGTGCATGAATATTCAAAGCCATGGAAGGGAGAGAAGAGCTGTGTACGAGACCTCTGACTAGTCGGAGGAGGTGAGAGGGGTGCCCCCACTTCTTTCCACAAATTCAAGGAGGGGGCACGTGAGGGAGTGAACAGCAACCCAGGAAGGGGCAATGTGACTCCACCCACGGGATGCTAACTTCTCAACGTGAGGAGGCGGGACCCTGGAAGAGGCTCTGCTCAGGGTGCTGGCTGGCGACTTTGCCTCGGTGACAGCCCAGGAGGGAGGCTGACAGGGCCAGGAGGCTGGGGCAGCAGCAGCCTTATTGCTTCGTTCAGGTGGTGAGGCCTTTCGGGCTGACCCCAGGCAGAGAATGCCAGAGCCAGCCCTCGGGCCTCGGGCCTCGGGCCTCGCGCACTCCCAGCCAGGGCTGGTGGCGCACTCTAGTCCCGGAGACACCAGGAGGGCTGCAGCCAAGCTGCCACCTTCACCACTGGGGATGACAGGACAGCCCGACTGTCCCAAGTGGCAGCCCTTCAGCCTGCTGACCAGAGTTCCCAGCTTTTAGGCAGAAAGCGGATGGCGGGCGTCGCTCCCTTTTATCCTGACACACATGTGCACACATTAAGAGGTAAGGAGGTGAGGGGAAAGGGACACAGTTCTCATGTCCAGTCTGGCCTTTTTCCTGGGGTGTAAGCAAAAGGCAAAAAGACTGTGACAGTCTCGTCAGGGGCGACTCTTCAGACAGCTCCGTGGGGCATACACCACACCCAGAGCCTGATTTCACCTCCCTGCTGGCTGAGTCACTCAAGGTGCAAGACCACAGGAACCAGCAATGCCCCAGAAAGGACCAGAAGAGCGGGAGATCTCTGGCTTGGCAGTGACCTCAAGCGATGAGGTGCCGTCTCACACACACACACACACACACACACACACACACGCTGGGAGTGACCTCAAGTGCAAGACCACAGGAACCAGCAATGCCCCAGAAAGGACCAGAAGAGCGGGAGATCTCTGGCTTGGCAGTGACCTCAAGCGATGAGGTGCCGTCTCACACACACACACACACACACACACACACACACGCTGGGAGTGACCTCAAGCGATGAGGTGCAGACACACACACACACACACACACGCACACTCCGCCGGGAGTGACCTCAAGTGATGAGGTGCAGACACACAGGCACACACACACACACACACACGCGCGCGCGCACTCCGCCGGGAGTGACCTCAAGCGATGAGGTGCAGACACGCAGGCGCACACACACACACACACACACACACGTGCACTCCGCCGGGAGTGACCTCAAGCGATGAGGTGCAGGCACACAGGCGCACACGCGCACACACACACGTGCACTCCGCCGGGAGTGACCTCAAGCGATGAGGTGCAGGCACACACACACACACACACACACTCAAGCGATGAGGTGCAGGCACACAGGCGCACACGCGCACACACACACGTGCACTCCGCCGGGAGTGACCTCAAGCGATGAGGTGCAGGCACACACACACACACACACACACACGTGCACTCCGCCGGGAGTGACCTCAAGGGATGAGGTGCAGACACGCAGGCACACATGCGCACACACACACACGCACACTCTGCCGGGAGTGACCTCAAGCGATGAGGTGCAGACACGCAGACACACACACACACGCACACGCTCTGCCGGCTCCAGGAAGGCAGACAAGGCCACCACCCCCACCCCAGGGTGGGGCTGTGAGTCTCAGCCGGTGGCAAAAGGGTCCCCTCTCTCCGTGGCAAGGCAACATCCTAGTGTTGGGGCTGTGAGGCCGGGATGGCTCCCCCAGTCCGCTCCCTCAGTCGCAGCTGGGATGACAGCTAGACCTCAAGACAAAAACTCCTGAGAAAGGGGGTGGGGGGCCCCTCTCACCGCCCCCCCGGGCCACCCTGCACCGGTTAGCTATTGTACAAGGGAACCACCCGGACGATCTCCTGTCTGCAGACGGGGCACCGCTTGGGCTCGGGCAAGGCGCGGTAGCACTCGGTGCAGGAACACACGTGCCCACACTCCAGGAAGACGCAGGACTTGAAGCTGCTCAGACACACGACACAGGCGCTCTTCAGACTCTCCCTGTCCTCGGGCTTGGCGCGGCTCAGCAGCTGGGCCTCACGCTCCTGGAACTCCTTCTCCATCTGCCTGAGGCGCTGCCTTTCCTGGCGCTGCAGGTAGTGCTTGCGGAGGATGAAGAAGAGAACGGCGCAGGTGGCGAAGCCGAAAACCAGCGTCAGGACCTTCCAGAGTCGGACGCTGGACTCCTGCCTCTGCAGCAGGCTGTCGAAGTCCTGGCTGCTGAGGTAGTACTGCATGCCCTGCTTGGGGGGCTGCAGGCGCACGGAGCTGCTATCCAGAACCAGCTCACCGACGCCCGTGAGCGTGGCACCCACCTTCAGCATCTCCTCCGTCTCCTGGATGCCTTTGGGCCGCTCGCCGCTGATGTAGTGGCCGATGACATCGGTGAAGGACTGGATGGAGGGGTGGAACTTCTCGTACACGGTCTCCAGGCCCAGATCCTGGGCGTCCAGCGGCTTCAGCACTCGCACGGCCACGGCCACACCGTCCTCGTGGGGGACCAGGTCGAAGGGCACTGTGTTGGTCCTCTGGTGAATGATCTTTGAGTAGTCGTTCCTAAAACGGGAGAACCCAAGATAAAACACAGGACAGCAAACACCTCACGCCCAGGCAGAGAGCGGATGGCCCAAATGCCAGGCCAGGATAAAGTCCGAACTAGCTGGAAGAATATGCACAAATCACTGTTATCCTAGTGCCTCATGATAGGGAGGCTCCGTTTTGGAGGTTCTCGGGCCGTATCAGTGGGCAATAAGCACTGTCCTAGATCAGCTCCACCGTTTACCTCTCTTTGCCACTCTCAAATAAATATCCAGTTCCTTAAGAAATGAAAAACGGAACTACCGTATGATCTGGCAATCCCACTTCTCGGGGTGTACATCCCAAAGAAGTGAGATCAGGGTCTCAAAGAGATATCTGCACTCCTGTGTTCACCGCAGCCCTGTTCACAAGAACCAAGACATGGAAACAACCTAGATGCCCATCAGCAGATGAGTGGAGAAAGAAAATGCGATACACACACAGACAATATTCAGCCATAAAAAGGAGGGAAACTCTGTCATATGTGACAGTGACAACAGGGATGAGCCTGGGGGACATTAGGCTAAGAGAACCAAGCCACTGCACAGAAAAACAAATACTTACATGAGGGACCTAAAACAGTCACACTCAGGGGCGCCTGGGTGGCTCAGTCGGTTGAGCGTCGGACTCTTGATTTTGGCTCAGGTCATGATCTCAGGGTCGTGAGATCGAGCCCCACGTCGTGCTCCGTGCTGAGCGTGGAGCCTGCTTAAGATTCTTTCTCCCCCTTCCCCTCTGCCCCTCCCCCTGCTCACATGCGCATGCACACGTGTTCTCTCTTTCTCTCTCTCTCAAAAAGAAATAAAACAAAATAGAAGTCATGCTCATGGAGACAGAGAGCAGAATGGTGGTTGCCATGGCCTGGGAGAGAAGAAAACGGGAGCTGCTGTTCAGTGGGTATCAAGTGTCAGTTATACAAGATGAATACATTCTAGAGATGTGCTGTACGACTTAGTGCCTGTAGCTAACAGTACCATATGCTCTAGTACTGTTAAAAGGGCAGATCTAATGGGGCGCCTGGGTGGCTCAGTCAGTTAAGCGTCTGCCTTGGGTCCAGGTCATGATCCTGCGGTCCTGGGATCGAGTCCAGCGTCGGGCTCCCTGCTCAGCAGGAAGTCTGCTTCTCCCTTTCCCTCTTGCCTTTCCTCACCACCCTCTCCCCCCACCCCCGCTCATGCTCAGTCTCTCTCAAATAAATAAATAAAATCTTTAAAAAAAAGGGGGGGGTTGATCTCATGTGAAGCATTCTTACTACAATAAAAAATACAAAATACAAAACAAAAACCCACTAGGATTGGCTGGAAAAACCGTTCTCCCGCAAGAATACCGTCAGCGTGAAGGAACTGGTCTAGGCCTTGTCTCAGGTGAACCGGAAGACACGGAAACAGTACCCAGGACGCCAGCATGCGAGCCTACCACCTGGGAGGCTTGGCTAGAGGAGAAAGGATAGGTACCAAAGGTGGGTTGTCCGATTCCACACCATCCTGTGCTCCTGCAGTGTCAGCCGCTGAATCACGCCCTTGCAATTTTCCACAAACTGGCTGTTAAGCGTTTCTTTAACAGATCGAACAGCCCCTAAATGGAAACAAATTATTTTACTTCTGAAGAACTGTTCTGCCCTTTCCTTTCAAGGTGATTTAAATACTGTTTTTAGGTTGAGTTGAATTCATCAAAATGATGCAAATGACATCATGTTAAGTTGTTTTGTCAGGGGCGCCTGGGTGGCTCAGCCGTTAAGCGTCTGCCTTCGGCTCGGGTCATGACCCTGGGGTCTCGGGATCGAGCCCCACATCGGGCTCCCTGCTCCGCGGGAAGCCTGCTTCTCCCTCTCCCACTCCCCCTGCTTGTGTTCCCTCTCTCGCTGTGTCTCTGTCAAGTGGATGAATAAAATCTTTGGAAAAAAAAAAAAAAAGTTGTTTCGTCAGCACTCTGTTAAGCACTTTACATGGATCCATCATTTCAGCTTTCCAACCACCTGGAAAGGTTGGAATTCTTGTTCAGATGGGGTAAGGGTGGTTCAGAAAGGTTGGGTAATTGCGCCAAGATCACACAGCAATAACCCAGGTCTTTCTGACCCCGAGGTCCAAGTTCTGGAACATTGCCCCATACAAAAGGCCCTTAATATCAGCCAAGAAGATTTTTATTAAACTTCGAGAAGAGGAAATTTTTAATTTTGCCAATAAATAAACATACCTTCAATAACAGCATAAGGCACACATTTTCCTGGGGCTTCTGAGAGAATGTTCTTTAAGTCTTCACCCAAGTGGATTCTTTTAGCTCCCTAAAGGCAAACAACACATTCAACTGGCTGCTGAATACTGCATGTTCTACCACACTGACAGGCCCAACAAGAAAAAGACTATTTACTTTTTTTATGTAATGAAAAGAGAATGAGGAAATCAGGCAGGAAGGAGGTTATGGAGAATCACATTCCCAAGCTGTGCCCCAGAAGTTTCACCACATAACCAGGCATCTGCCACCCTACGGATGGGGGTGCCAGCGACATTCTTTCCCCAGTTAACAGAAACGTACCCTCCTCTTCATTTTAACTTTTTTTAGTGAAAATATGAAAGGTCCTTATCCGTTTTCATGCCACAGACTGAACATAATTTAATCTCTTCTTGATGACACAGAACCATGCATTAGAGGGCTTCTGTGGAAAGTACCTAAGCCGGTGCCTAGGACATGGCAGGGGCTCGGGCAAGGGTAGGCGTTGCTCTCAGCGTGCCTGGGGCAATCCACGCTCTGCATTACATGGGACAGTACAGGGCTGCCTTCGCCGTGGGGGGCAAGGCTCTGTTCGCTGGCACCATTCTCCTACTTTCCAGTTCGTCCTTCCACCCTCTGACGAGCAGGAGACCATGGTGACTGCTGCCGCCACCCCCCTCCTTCTGCCACCCCCTCCGATGCAGTTTCCCCCCCTGCATGGGGACCAAGCCAGCCTGGCACTGCTGCATCAAAAATAAAGAGAAGATTAATAAAACCAATGACCAGTTCCTGAGCATCCATGTGCCAGGCACTGGACTGGGCACTGGGGATTCAGGGATGAATCAAGGACACTTCCCACTTGCAGGGAATTGCCATCAACAAATCTGAAGGATGCCAGGTACGTAAGCCCTCGAGGGGTGAGGAGGGATGGGTACTCTAGGTCACTGAGGTCATTCGAAGTTGAAGCTAGTGCTGCACAGTAAATGACAGGAGCCAGGTCAATCCAAACTTATGAACCACCTACACCGTGAGGATAGTACAAATAACAGCCCAGCAACTAACAGAGTCTATTGACTCCTTTGTTCTGTCCCCCTCCCCTGGACTATTAAACTCGAGGACAGCTCAGACCTTGCTTGTCTTGTTCACTGCTGTCTCCCTGGTGCCGAGAACAGTGCCTGACCCATAGCAGGCACTCAATACGTATTTGATGAGTAAGTGAATGAATAATCACTTAGACTACAACTGGCCCCTGAACAATGCAGAGGTGAGGGGCGCGCCCCCCCACGCCCCAACGCCCCAACTCGGGCTCCCCCAAACTCCTCCAAACTCGGGCCCCCCCTCCAAGCGACTCCAAAGCCCCCAAGTGCCCTCTTAGCATCTGCTCAGATGGCCACGCAGTCAAAAATCTGCATATAACTCTGACTCCCCCAAAACTTCACTACTCATAGCCTACTGTTGACCAGAAGCCTTACTGATAACGTAAGCAGTCAATCGACACATACTTTGTAGGTTATATGTATTATATGCTGTGTTCCAATAATAAAGCAAGCTAGAGAAAAGAATATACTTTTTTTTAAAAATCATGAGAGAAGGGGTTGCCTGGGTGGCTCAGTCATTAAGCGTCTGCCTTCGGCTCAGGTCATGATCCCAGGGTCCTGGGATCAAGCCCCACATCGGGCTCCCTGCTC